ATATATATATATATTATTACAATTATTATAGCAAAGTCTAATCGGACCTAACCTATTTATTTTATTTCTAATGTTAACATATTAATTTTATTAATATACTAGAAAAGAAAAGGCACTTTGTGCTTTCATTAAAAAAAAAAAATTTATGAGCAATTACTTATATGCATATGAGTTGTATACGTATATATGTGATATTTATATTAATATATTAAATTATTTAATATTTATGAGTTATTTTATATGAATATTAATGCAAATTCAAAATTTTCATTTACAATCATGTTAAGTATAAATAGTTTGAAAGAGAGACATTATTTGCAATATTTTAAAATTTGGGAGCAAAATTCGTGAATCAATTATTTGGCGGCAAAAATTGTGATAAAGTTAAAATTTGGAAGTACAAAATGTAAATATGTTTGATGCTTACATCAACATATTTTAATAAAATATTGACATAGAGACATAATTTGTATATTTTTCAAAACTTGAGGGCAAAATTTGCAAAAAAGAAAAAGTTTTGGGGAACAAAATTTGTAACAATGTAAAAGTTTGGAAGTACAAAATATAATTAAATATTATTTTAATAAGAAAATATAACTCTTTTTCATACTCAAATTAGGCATCAAATCCCAATTCTTAATTAAGATATTTTTTTTTAGTATTTTTAAGTTAATTGTAATTTGTTGTGAATGTAAACTTTTTTTACACTTTTAATTAATAATTATTTGATATATTCCTTTAAGATAATCATTATTGAAGTTAATAACAATTACAAATAAGTATGTGTAATTATATAGCATAACAATATAAAAAAGAGTAAAATACACTCACATTCAATTCTATGAAATTATATTAAAACTTCCTTTTTTTAATATTTATAGTAACCCCTTTTACATAGAGTCACAATGTAGTTTTCTTCAAATAATTAGGAGGAGTTAATGTAATGTATAAGAGGCGTTAGTATAATATTTTTTAAACTATTAAAAGAGATTATCGTAGGTATAAAAAAAGTAAGGAATATTTGTGTAATTCAATGAAACTTGACGAGGTATAAGTATAATTTATTCTATAAAAACTTATATTATTAATACTTTTAATAAATTTTTATTTTATTTTGATTGATTGAAAAAAACATATTTACCATAAATAAAAGAAATTACAATTGATAGGGAATAAAAGAAGAGAAAATCTAGAAAGTACTCTAACTAGTAATTGGCTCAAATCGGCTAGTTGGACTAATTGAACTAACAACTCATATATGATTCATTACAAACTGGCTAAAATTGACAAACCTTTTGAACCAGTGAATCAGAGTTCAAATCAACTAATGATCTTATATGGGGTAGCCCATGAAAATCGAACCTATGCTCTAATAAATACAAGAGACTTTGATGTTGTTGCACATACAACTATACTAATAAGTCAAATTGTTATATGAGCAACTTAAATTATTTGTATAGTATATTATTAACTTTAAATTATATATTTAATAATATAATATATATGTACATATTACATATATTATTTTGTGACATCAAAATTACAAGTATATGTATATATTATTTATATTTTTAATTTGTATTAATTTCTACAATTCAACATGCAAATTTTCCACGTATTTCTTCATACAAATTAAAAATAAAGATAATTTTAAATAAGAGGTGAATTGAAATTTAAAACATAATATGAATTTATTGAAATTTATAAGTATAAAATATATACATGAATATTTTTTTAAAATTAATAGAGACTGAGTCATATGATTTAATTAGTGACTGATAATTATGTGATTTACTTGATATCAAGTCTGTAAATCATAGCAATTATTTTTCTTTCCCTTATTTCTAGTGTTGTCAACCTCTTTTTGGTATAAGTTTATTAAGCTTACAATTCATTGCAACTTTTAGGAATCTTGGGTTAAATCTCACAAACGAAACTCTTTTTGTAGAGAAGTTAAAGATGAAGAACGTTGCAAACTCCAACACTTAAAAAGTCAATCATAAAATTGGGAGTTGAAGTTGGATTTTTGCTCAATAAGCCAATTAATTTGGTCATTGACTTAAAGTTGTATGATGGAGAGTCACAAAGAAGTCTGCTCACTCAACGAGCCAATCTGATTCGTTGAGTGAGAATTTGATAACCAACATAGATCAAGTGGCTCGCTTAGTGAGCTTTTTTTAGCTTAGTGAGATTGAAGCACAAAAAGTTTCTCTAATTGAGCGAGACTTGGGCATTGAATGAGACAAGTAGTAGAGACATTTTCTAGCTTAGCGAGACAATTTGGTCATTGAGAGAAAGCTAGTGGACACCTGAACCTATGCGACAAAGAGAATGTTCTCTAATAAGACCAAATTAGGGATTCGAAGGCATTATTGAAACATTGTTGACAAAACTCCTAAAGGTCAAGAATACCTTAGGAGAGCTACATTTCCTCACTTCTTCAATTCTTCATCATTGTTAATGGTTCCAATGGTTGCTTTTAGTTAAACTCCCTCTCATTGGGATTGGATGTAACTGGCTAATAACATCATGTATTAACTTTACTTCATTAACCTATGTTTCATTATATTCATTAGTGTTTTCACTCTTCTCTTAATGCTCTCTTGATTTATTGTATCTTGAGTGATTTATGGCTTTAGTTGTTATTAGAAAATGCTTCTTCAGTTATGTATGAGTTAAAACACACATTAAGAGTCATATTTAGGAATAAATATGAAGTTCAATGGGCGTTTATGAACTACCCATTTTTAATGCTTGTATTTAAGTCAAGTTAGTGAAGGGATTGAAGATTTAAGTGAAATACATGGTTTCAAACTGTTAAGGAATTAGAGTTTGAATACCTTTTGTGGTTTTGTTAATGTTGAGATGGAACATAGAGGAAAAACTTTTATAAACTAATACATGACAACGGTCTAGTGAAATCCAACCCTAGTGGTTCTCTCCATTTGATTTTACTCAAGTTTTGTCTCACGTGATTAATGAAAATCTCTAAGTTACATCTAATATATATTGCGCAAGTTCTCTTGAGATATGATCTTATTTTGAAAATACTACACATGACCTGATACACTTGCTAATCATTCAATAGAGATCCATCAATTTAATCTTTGATTCACTAACTTACTATTATAACTGATTTGATGATCAGTTTAATTTTTAAAACTATACTTCATCCTTTCATTTGTTTATTATTATTTTTGCAATTATTTATGCACTTTTTATTCTTTATAATAAAAATTTTAGTCAAATCAAATCTTATTTAATATTTTTAATTTAAAAGTATCTCTATAATAATAAATAAAAATATTATTTATTGCAAATATAGTTAAAAATATTTTAAAAAATATAGTGTATATTTTATATAAAATTGTAAAAATTAAATGGATAAAAAAAATTCTTAACTTGTGTGTGAAATAATTATTATATATAGGTGTATGGTGAGTATTGACAAAATTGTACTCATTAAAGACGAGACTCCACCTTTTTCTGATACATTACTTTTTTTTCTGTCACCGAACATGAACTATTCCTATTAACCTTCTCTCTTCTTTATCTATTGTCTCTATCTATCTGGATTTTCAATCTCAAAAACAATTTCTTTATACATTACTTTCGATCGACTAACAAAAGGAGTTGAATTTTCTTGTAGTTGTAAAATCTTGATAAATTTTCATACAACAAAGAGACTTAGTTACCACCAAGTTGTCTATTGTTTTGATAAATTACAATTAGATAGTAAACAAACTATGTTGCTACTAATACTATGAAATGCATTATTAGAAATATTACAAAGACATAATAACAACATACAAGACAAATAAATTTATCCATTCAAAATAGTCACTCGATGACATTGACCAAATGAACCTAAATCCCAAAAATATATTTAAGAAACCAATTTCGTAAAACAAATTCACCCGTTAAGCTTGTTTACTTTTATAAATTTAATTTTTTTTATTTTACATTTAGTATTATATTAGATAGAAAACCATCCTTCACTAGTTAAAAAAAAAAATAAAAAATTAATCCTTTTAGTTCCATTAGCAAATATTTTTCTAATTATCTTTTATAAAATCTAAAATACTAATTATATTTTTCTATTATATTTACAAAATGACTACTTTAATTTATGTAATCCATGAGAATTATACTCAAATATTAAGAGTTTATGAGAGTCAAACACCATACTCAATAATTAAGTTAGATTCTTTGTGTATATAATTAATTAATAATGGCTTATGTCTTTTAATCAATTTATGTATAATTTTAATTCTGATATTAAATATAAAATAAATTATATTAAAAGAAAAATATCTATTTTATGTGCATTAAGTCTCAATATCTCTTACAAAAATTAGTCATTTAATCATTATTTTTAGAGATAAATATTTTTTTTAGTATTATAGTTTCTTAAAAACTAAAATTCAATAATTTTTTTAAAAAAAAAATGAAACGAATCTAGCTATCTATCTTTTGAATAGAGTCCATTTCACTAATGATGCATAGTTTCCATTAAAGTTGAAAGTTAATATGGTGTCAACTCTATTAACATAGCCAATGGGCATTGCCGTCACACATCTATCCCTAATCCCAACACTAATGATGCCTCTTTAGACCATTGGCTCAACTCAACACACCTTTTCCCCACTAAAGTCAAATTTCTTGTCGCTTCCACTTCTTCCTCTTCAAACTCACACCCACCTGAACAACCAACCAACCCTCTTCTCTCTCTCTCTCTCTCTCACCAAAAACACCACAAAAGAAAATAAAACAAGAAAGAAATTATTACAAAAAAAAATAAATAAAAGAAAAGAAAAAAAAAGAAAAGAGAGAGAGTCCGTTTCGTTTCTCATTTTTTTCGATGGACCCGAAGTTCATCGGAAAGCCGCCGGCGACGGTTGACCTAGACCGGATG